AGTGTGGTTGTTATGTTTGTAAAATGGGACGATAGGAAAGGAAGGTCCCAAGTGGCTCTATATTCTGTGGCGGAGCCGTTTCTAGTCACAATAATTTGGTCATTCACTCATGAATATCAGCTAGTAGAACGGTGCTCCTTACATCGTACTCCGTGATAAAATCGGAGTCATGGTCCATCGCTCAATCAGGCGTCATGCTGGTGATCATATCACCCAGTCCTTAATCAATTGCCCGGATGGGGCGGACTACCCCTAGTCCACGGGGCAGTCAATCTCTAGACAAGCTTCTCTGCTGATCAGTCTGAATCTCGCTGATACCTGGCGAGAGAACCGGAGTGCTTTGGTTGGCGGGCGGCCTTGGCGGCATCTGCTGGAACAATTTCCAAGACACAGAACATCAGATACTCCGTAGGCATGGGTGGCCCTCTATCAGTAAGCACGAACGCCTTCAATCACTGCACGGCTCTGACCGGGTGCGCCTATGGAAGCTTTGAGGGAAGGCGTCTTGGAAATGAGCGGTATGCTTTTGGCCGAGCAGCCATACTCTCACACAGCCTTGAGGATAAACCTCATTTTACATAGTGTGAAAGTGGTATCTCGATAGTCCTACGTATCAAGCCTCCTCATCTACAGCAGCTGATATAACCTCGGTGATTCCATTGAACAGAAGACACCTGGCCCAATCAGGGACAGCGAAGGCTTGTTGGCACCGAGCAACACTCGAGCTAGCATAATGAGCATGAGCCGCTACGATTGATGGTCCGGAAGCTAAGATTGGTTGGTCGGCGAAGACGCGGACTGCAATTGCAGATGCCCGAAGTACCATGAAATGAAAGTCACTGTTGCGTTCCTTATGTATATTGGTCATTCGTTTGCTTGTGGTCTATCTGATGTACCGTACCGTTCTACCCTTCAGGTCGAACCTGAGGTAGTTTTACTTCGAATACAACAATCATCCTCCCTATCAGGGTCATACCGTGTACTGCTTGCAACAATCACGTCCCACCAACCGACAAACATATGTTGTATACCTGTAAGCCTATGAAGCCGATAGAGGCTGGTCCTTTACTCTCGAAACGGACTTAGGAGGGGCCTGTCGTAGAGAACCACCAATATTATAGGATTAAGCCTGCTTCTTCGGTCCCGGTGGTGGCGCCGTGAATCTCGCCACGAGGCAAAGAGGCCAGGCTAACTGCTCCATAGAATCGACATCCATCTCGTCCGAAGTGATCATGTCCACGACCACAACCGCAATGTACCCGCTGAAGGTGGTGAATACGTGCCACCTAGAGGGGTTGAGTTCTCTGGTCAGTTTCCTTTGAACTGAAGTTCCAAACGCAGGGAATAAGCGGCGTACCACCCGTGTAATTCCAATAGAAACGCTAAGGGTACGCCCACCGAGTGCGGGGTACTGGTAAGGGAACCGCAAGCCCATCCATCGATCAACCAGACTATGTAGGCGAATATGAAGCAGACTGAGTCGGTTAGTACTATCTCATCGGTCAATTCGTCGAGAGGCGGACTCACAGCAGCCAAACAGAGCCATATTCCGAACATTTCTCCTGGCGAACGGATCGGAAATTTTCCGGGAAATTAATTTCAGAGTACGTGTCGCGATCAAGTAAACTCCGATTACGGCGTGCAGAAGGAATTCATCCATGACCATATGAATTACGATAACCGTAGTAAACTCAATGGCAAGGACGACGCCCACGATCCTGGTATACCGAGGGCTGGCCTGGAAGGTCAGAAGGCGGTACAGGAGCGGTGTAGTCAGAAGGTGCATCGATAATTCGTCCACTTGGCATGCATAACAGGACGTCGGCGACAGTCAACCGGAGGACGACAAGATTTGGGGGAAACTGACACATTTGCGTGTGATATTTCAGGGTCATATGGTAACTAGCTGAGCAAACACCCACGCCCACCAGGCCAAAATACGGAACTGCGCGGGACACCGTAGCCTCTTGTTTGTGTCGGAGCTTCAGCAGGCCATCGATCCCATAGGCAACTAGATGTCTGATGGTAAGCCACGAAGGCCCACGCGATGGTAGGTTGCCCACCTACGCACCAAAAACCAAGCTGCTAAAAGTGTTCACAAACTCAGCAACGTATCGAGAGATGACGTAGTCCTTTAATTGTTGGCAAATCGACCATTAGTATTCGGGGAAAAAGAGTAGAGACAAGATGACTGATGAGGCTCTGGCATACCTCTTCGCAAAAGCTAGAGCGCGTCAGTCATCGGGATGGAAAGGGCAAGGGCTTGAGAGATATTGTACGTACTTTAGATATGATGTTTGGGCTCCCCAGAAGGGAAGGGAGATGGAAGATTCCATCATCCAAGATGTCCCAGTTGACGACGGATTGGAGGTATGTAGTAGAGAAAAATCACTGGTAACACTACTACTGTTGCGCTCATCGCCAGAAAGATGGCGGCGCTGAACAGCGCATCGACCGACTCTAAGATACCCTGCGCACTGCGCCCCTTTTCTACGGCTTAGTAGTACTTAAGCTAGGTACCTAACTACTGCTACTGACAAGAAAAGCCTAGCTTTGTTACTAAAAAGCCTAAAAAACCCCGCGATGGTGAGGATTCCAGAAGACTTGCTTTCCTGGATACAATAATGTGACTTAATCCCCTCTGTCGATCCACTACAAGAAAGTTGCTGTGCTGACGTATTGCATGTCGGTCATGCAGGTCCAGATGGATTAGGTGAATCTTCCAGCATACAGGTCAAAGTCGGTAACTCACCTACTTGGTCGATGATCAAGCACTGCTGTAAACGTAAGATACTCAACGTCCCACAAGAAGAGAAAAGACAAAGAAGAAGATACTGATAGGCGACACTAGTGGTAAGCTATGACGCAAGGTATTTTTCTTTTTTGGTTCGGCACTAGCTGAGGGCCAAGTTCCTGGGTTCCTAGGCAGCGCGAGCGGTCCTACCACTTATTAAACTCCTGGAAAATGGACAGCGGATGAAAGCCTCTCCATTTACCTCGACAACTCCGCGATAGCAAGGATGGCGCCCCCTCGAATCGCTAGGAGAGGTGCAGCGTCGAAATCGATTATCGGATTTGGCCCCAATTATAAGAGTATAATGCTCTTTTAGGCCATAAACAGAAGAAACCATTATTAGGTACGATGCTGTAGTCCTAGATAAACCATCCAACGCCCCTCTGTGGCGTTTGTGCGTCGATTATATGACATTTTTAGCCGGGTGGACTGGCTTTATAGACAGAAGGACATTGGTTAAATTGCATTCTTACGTAGAAAATAACTAATCTGTAGTGTCTTATATGGTAGTAGGATAGGAAGTAGTCGGAAGTAGAACAGAGAATATATAGATTCCCGCTGCATTTCTAGGAATACAGATGCTAGCGGATGTACTAGTCGAATTACACACCACATTACAACTACTAGCACACATAAAATCTACAGTAACATGATTCATGACCAACTACGCAAGGGCTCTCATTTTGCTTCATGATTTTCAATGGCCTCAAAACACCTGCGTCACTTTCTCCTCTCTGCCTTGATTTTCTCCCCATCTATCCTCCCATAAATCGCGCCCAACGTAACGCCAGCCCATTGGCGCACCACCCATCCCCCACCGGGTCTTCATCTCAGCTAGCGTCACCGGGTGGACCAGCTCGTAAAGTTCCAGAACAGGGTATCCGTACTTAGACTCCTTCAACCCGGCGTTGAATTCCGCGTTGCCGATGCCAAAGGGCTTGGCTGGCACGGAACCAGGCGTATGGCGTATGGAAGCTGGGATAACTGCGATATGCCTGGGAATATATCAGCAAAAGGATAAAGAGGCGGAGAAGCGGAGAAAGACAGCAAGCGCGGACAGAGCTATGGAGAGGGAAGTAGATAGATAAGAAGTAACACACGTAATAGATGCCCGGCCCCCGCCGCCATCGCCTGTCTCATAAAACCACAATCGTGTGACCCCATCACGCAGCCGGTACTTGCGGTACTCATGGTTCTTCTGCCGGCTGACAATGTTAGCCAGGTGGACTGGCTTGATAGACAGAAGCACATCGGTTAACATCCGGTCGGAGGCGGTGGGACCAGCCGACTTAGACTTTGACTTGGCTGGCGGCGGCTTCTTGGATATTCGATGTGTATTATCAGATATGGATATGGTGGTCTGCGAGGTGCGTCGAGAGAAGGAGCCATTGAGAGTAGTCTGTGTAAATGAGGATGGCTTGGTCAGCGGAGGACGTGAGGGTGCCATTTTTAGGATAAATAGGTGTGGGAGAGCGAGGTGAAGGTTGAGACTGAGAAAGATGTGGACGTGTTTTACCAAACAAGAATAATAACAACATACTGGGTATTCTGACATGTACCTGGACGCGCCGCTGAGTAAGGTAAGAATGACTTGTGCATAATTACTAACTAGCTGACCGCCAGGTAATTCGTTGGCACCGCCACCGCCACAGCCCCTTCCACACTTATGGGATTATCCATTTTTGTCCTTCCATAATCACCCTTCGTAAATACTCAACTGAAAATGCCCTGAATAACTTTCTTGGATCCTCTAACCACCCTTGCACCTCCTCCCACAGCCTTCCTAGCCCCTCCACCCCGTCACCGTCGAACAGGCTCTTTAATTGCGTAAAGCTGCACAGCCCTTCGGTCCCGAATACCTTCATTGTCTCATATCCACCCTCGCGGACGTACAACGCCTTGGACAACTTCGCGCCGCTCCAATCCACAATAAGTGGTGCGTACAGAATATGCGGTGTCCGTCCCGCTGCCAAACTTGTAGCTCCCGACCAGCCCGCCAGGGGACGGTAGAGGAACACCTCCTGGTACATACCGGCGTAGTCCGCGCCCGTGATACGCACGTGATGCACGCTGGTGTCTAGCAGCTGGCTCATGCTGCGGATGAGATTGCGTGCCGGGGCGTTTGCTTCCAGACGGGCAACGTCGGCAGGTTCGGAGATGCAGATAGTGTGCGGGCCATGATCCGGGCAGTGGAAGGTAATTGTAGCGTCAGGAGTGGCGGAAGCCGCATTCGCGGTTTGGTGATTGCTGTTATTGTTATATACATTGAGCCGGCCATGTTTCTCTGCCAGGCCACAGCCGGGGACGGGGCATGCAGCACGGAGGGCTAGCGTGCCATACTTGGGGGAAAGCTGATGCCCGAGCAACTCGTGGTTGGTAATGATGTAGCGAAGGAGGGAAAGGGATGGTAGGGTGAGAGAAGAAGTCGCCCTGGAAGGTTGTCGTAAAAGGGGATATCAGACCAGTTTGACAAGAGATTGAGAACCTGCATATAATCGGCCATATGCGATGGCAAGTGCCCCAGGAACGTTTCTGTAAGATTTTTGGTATTTTATTCCGCCGATTGTGGTCTCGTGGTCCTGGACTGGAGCGGTGTCGACAAAAGTGATCTCGACTGAGATGGTAGGCGGCTTCGAGTCTGTATTAGCTACCGTGGCCTGCATCCGTTTACGGATCTCTTGAGCGAGCGAGAAAGCATAGCAGAAAACAACAAGGGTGCCAGCGTGAGGAGAGTTATTTGGTTGCGCTCCGGCATGGATGACGATGGGACGGGTTGGGAGTTGGACAGAGCACCCTGGGTAGTTGTTGGGGACCATTGCGTTGCTCCGCTTGTCAACCAGAAGCCCCTTCTCGCTATTTGAGAGAATCTCGTCGTTTGTGAGAGCAAGCAGGACGGGCTCGACGACATCTTCCTGGAAGGCATAGGAACCGCCGCCGAGCGGATCATGCACCCGACCGTCATGGAAGGTTGCAAATATTGGGCTCTTGGGTATTAGGGTAGGGACCAGAGCCTGGATAGCAGAGAGGATTTCTCTGCAGCTGCTAGATTCTAGCGAAATATCTTGGAGCTGGGCCGGCTGGATCGTTGCTGAACAGGGCCCCGCCTCATCCGTGAGCAGTGGGAGAAGTAATCTGACCAGGTTCTGGGCGGCGGTAGCGCGAAGGTCTGAGGCACGTGGAGCTTGGGGCGGATAAATGTCCATTCTGATTTAGGGTATTGCAATGCGAGGGTCACGATGTGAATAGCTGGGCTTCCAAGATCTGATGTAGGAGCATATTCTAAAACAACGAAGCTGGCGCGGGGTGGAGGGAAGAGGAAAGGAGAATAAGCAGTGGCATTCAAGAGTAATATACGCGCCTAGGTAATGCAAACATGAGACCGTTGACAATAAGATACTACTACTATTATTATCTTATCATTATTCTAATTAGAACCGCTTAGCCCACCAATCTCTCCGCTGCTTGGTACAGGGAGGGTACAGGGAGGGGAGGGAGGGGGAGAGTAGCTGAATTGTGAGACCGACGTTTACTGCATCCCCAGATCCCCGGTTTGAGGAAGAGGTAAGACTTAGAAGCAGACACCAATGAGCAGAGCGCTCAGCTAGATAATGTACAGGACCCTGAAAAAATATACAACACTAGTTAGCCAACTATGGCAGAATATCGGGGGCTTGGACCTCTTCTGTGCTATAAGCATGGACAGGTCTAAGAGCCATGACTTTTAATATTAGATGCCTCGTTTAGATCAAAACTGAGACTGCACAGAGAGAGCGAATGATACACGTTCAAATACTAAGCCTAAGGCTTGGCGAAGTACCACCAGTAAGCACCTAACAATTTGCTTCCCTTGATGTAATTGTCCCTGTCGAGCTTCTCATCCGGCCCATGAGCACCATCATCGGACCTGCCAACTGGAAGCAACATAATGCTCTTGTTAGTTCCCAAAGCTTTCTGGAGCTCCAAAGTAACACCAATACTATAGCAGCACAACCATGAGCAATTGTTTATTGAAAGAGAGAGCAATAGATGGGGAAACTAACCTTCCACCTTCGCGAGTCATATCAGGATCCGTGTTATACACCCGTTTAGTCGCTGCCTTTCCCGCTGCGAAATTTGGATCATCAATATTTCCGACCCAATACGGTGCAGACTCCCCAAATTCTCGTACTTCACATGTATTTTTACTCCCCAATTTGTTGAACTCCTGCTTAAGGAAATGCACCACCAAGGCGGTTACCACACTACCGTCCATGGTTGGGACTGTTCGGACAGAGAACTTTCCGGTGACCTCAGGATAGATAGCTGTTGTTTGATTAGGACTAGAGTCTGCACCACTGATGCCGTGGATTGTTATTGAGGGGTACCTCCCGCGGTGCATGAGCGTATCCGGGGCCGTGTCGTAGATTGCTGCCTCACTCCCTATGGTGTTCTTGAACTCTTCCATAGAGAAGTCGATTTTTTTATATCTCTCGATCTCTTCACTTGTAGTATCGTCAACCAATCCATTGATTCCGGGGACAAGGATGTTGCCCTTTGAGTCAACTAGCTTGGACAGCATGATCATAAGGTCAGTCATCGGCTCGTGGACTGTTCCACCGTATATACCGCTGTGAAGCGGCACAGGCTTACGTCCTGGAAGGGGCTTTTGGGCGATGCTAATGGTGAAATAATTGATACCCCGGAGGCCGTAGGTCAGACACGGCTTCCGGGGGGTCAGCCAGTAGTTGTCAGAGATACAAGCTGCATCGACTTTGCTGAGCAACTCCTGATTTTGATGAGCGAATCCCGCAAGCCAACAGAGCCCGACTCCTCCATTCCCTCAAAACAGAAAAGGAGGTTGACGGGAAGATCAACTCCCGCCTTCTGGTACGCCTCAAGCGCGTTGAGCCAGGCGAGCAGTGGTCCCTTATCATCAGTTGAGCCGCGCCCATACAACTTCCCATCTATCTCCGTAAGCTTCCAAGGTTTTCTAGGATACGTCCACCCTTCGCCTTCCGGTTGGACATCATAATGGCCATAGATAAGAATGGTTCTCTTCTTGGGGTCAGGCGTGGCCGGGTACTTCGCAAGTACCACATCTGGTAACGCTAGAACCGGGTCGGTGTCCGGTTGGTTACCTAATGGACACCGCTCAACATTGGCCCCTAAACCACTAAGTTGGTCCACGAGGAAAGCAGTCATCTACAAACAGCAATCAACCCAAGTCAGCGAGTAAGCTTAGAATTGTAAGCCCCCTTAACACAGTGCAGTATCATACCTGACCAACATTTTTGCGCCCTTCGTCAGTTAAATCAGAGGAAACCGATTTTATTTCAACCGCCTTCGCGAGCCCTAGACCAACTTTATTAGCATAGGCGTACAGGTGCGTAGTTCAGCAGAAAGACTTACTGTCGGTAACAAAGTGTTGGGCGAGTTGGTCAATTCTAGAAAAGGACACAGTAGTGGTTAGCTCCGGGTATCCAGCATCAGAAGCATCTATAAATACATACTTTGTGAGAACCTGTTCCAATGTATCAGATGGCATGACTGCGTATAGTGTGAAAGAATGCTATTGTTACAGTAGAGTAATGACTTCAAGTGTGATCAGGAATTAAATGAGGAAACAAGTAATCATGTTTTCTCCCCTAGCAGACCAACAAGATGGAGGGAAAATATATACCTTTTCATATATTCAATGATTTCATAGTTCTATCACTGGGAGAACTATTGAGGCATTTGGGTTTTGGAATGACACAATCAGTTGACCTTAGCATATAATTCCAAATAACCAGTAGCTGACTTGCATAAATGAACACAGAGATACGTATTCCAGGATCTGACGTTTTTTTTTTTTTTTTTTTTTTTCCAATAAAGTTAGATGGTACAGTTGCACTGATACTACGTCCAGGTTGGTTTGGTCTGTTAATTATACAGTTTCTGAACCTGGAAGTAGAATGCCTCTCAGTGTTAATCCATCATTACATTTGAAGTCTTGTGAATTGTACAGTATTCTTATGCGTGATACTGGGATGATATATTTAGTACGCATTGCGTTAGGACGAACTGGATCCTTTTTGTTAGGGAATAATTATTAAAAGTATATTCGTGCTGAAGATCTTTTTTATTGTATGCAAAGGCTAGCGATTTATTAACATGCCACGGCTAGTGAGATAAGTTAAGTACAAGCAGAACAGTGCGCAATCTAATCCAAACACGTTCCTCTGTACAAAATTCAATAGCGATGGCCCTATTCAATTCACATAGAATAGTAGATACCAGCGCGCAGCTATAACAGTTACGAAGAGAATTACAAAAGTAAGAGGTTTGAGAAACTTCATGTAACTTTCTAATCTATGAACTCTTAAGCTTATAGCACCTAAATATGGTTTCTTAAGGAGGTAGGCGTTGCTGGGGACGCTGAAACACAATAGGGACAAGGCAGATCCATCGCTGGTACCACAACCCCCTACCTGCGACTTAGATATAGATATAACGTTCAATGGATTAGATATAGCAGTAGAAATGGACTGTATGTTCATAGTTACGGCCAGCTTATGTCTGTTTCACGTATTGCCTTGAAGACATCAGGATGAATCGAAGCTCGGCGGACCAAAAAGGCTGCAAGACTACTAGCTGCAAACAGAAGATAACAGAAGTCCAAAACTACCTAGAGTTTGGAAGGCACCTTGTATAGTTACACAAAAGAAACACTACAGCTCAAATAGATTGGCTCGGCAATTGCAACCGGGGCTTATTATTCAGTAGCTATATCATACTAGCATAAATATAAAGGTGCGTAGTATTTGTCAGTTTCAAAAGTAGGTAGCATGCCCATCCTTCAATGGGTTCTAGATGCTCATAGCTTCTGAATTTGCTGATCACAAGGTTCTATGCTCTGAGCAAGAAGGAAGGTTGTCTAACTTTAGTCCCAGGGCTTGTCTACTGGCACCGCAGTGGAGTGCCTTTTCTCTGTAATTGATTAAAATCCCATGTTCCTCTGCGCCCACACCGCCCTATGTGCATGCCCAAACAGTTGAGGCGTGGATACAATAGATCAATTCCTAGTTATCCGTCAACGACATCAGAAGTAGATTCTATGTCCTTAAATGGGCCATGGCGATCGCTATTTAATGTCGCTACTGGCGAATACAATTTCCAATTCCGCGGTTCCGGGGGTTGGAATTTGTTCTCAAATGTACCCATATTCTCCACACAGGATCGTTTATCTCTATAAACTCTTCTTTGCGCCGAAGAAATAGTCTTAGGGCACCAAGCGCGAAATAGAAGACTATCCTGTATTGCATACTGAAAACAGGATATGAATATGATTCAACGGGTAATGTAAGGTAAAAAAAAGAGGCATTTTTACATCAATACTGCTTGCAACCAGGATTACTAAACCCCAAGGAAAGTCTATGAAGCAAGGATGCGGTACTTTGTGCAACAATACTGTTTGCGGCCGATTCTGGAACTAGAGGGAAAAACGCAGCTTAGGGAACCAATTTCAGAAATCCCTGGTCAAAGCCAAATAAAATCTGCATTGTGACGGTTGTACGTCACTCACATGATATCTTGAAGAGCAGAGAGAGACCAGTATGGTGCTAGGGTGGCTACGGTCGCCCGTAGGGATCTAGACTATCTCCTGTCCGGGGAGTAGCGTCCCTAAAAGTTTACGTTGCCGCGTGTGGAGGATCTTCCAGAATGATAGATTAACTGGCCCAAACCGTCGAACTGAGCCGGGTACAAAGTACAGCCGTAGTCGTGCACGCCCAAGTATAATCCAGCCTGCTACATTGATGTGCAAGACCAGGCCCATCCCCCACCTTCTAGAGACAATAAAAGTTTTCTAATCAGAAGGTTTATAGATTTAGATGCCGACTTATTTGATAGTTATGTATCTAGGAAACAGACATGCATTCAGTTCATTTCCGATTGCGGAAAAGTAGACTACAGATGATGCCTTGCTTGCGTACCTAGTTGCACACCTATCATTCAATAATCATTATAATTACAACAGTAACATGCAGTGTACTTACTCTATTACAGGAAAAGGTATTTGCTGCCGATAACTTTAAGTATATACCTGGCGTCGGCGAAGTGTCCCAATATTCCTGACGGAATATACTGTAGGCCATATGTTGTCTGACCCAGTATAAAAGGAGCCTGAATTGTCGCTCTCAGGGTGTTTTGTAACGTACATCCCTTTGACGTTAAAATTACTTTGTTATTAGGACCGCGGAATACCGTCAGATCAACAACAATATGCCCTGCCAACGCCGTAATCATGAAATTGTCAGCTCCTTCTTTATCGGACCCAAAGCCGAGAATGTAGAGATCTTCAAGGAAAATATTGATACAATCCTACAATCAGTCCTTACAGCACGTCGGAATTATTACCCTAATGATAAAGTGAGACAATCCAGGACAGTGCACAGTAACTCACTAACTAGGTCAGGTCTTTATAACGCCACATATCAAGAACTCAGAAGCCTCTAAAACGGCTACTGAAAAACTTGCCTATATAGTTGAGCAAACCGCCAACAAATCAGGGGATGGCTCGATCCCTTATTGGCATCCTCGCTACCAGGGCCACATGTGCATGGAACTGACAATGCCCGCCGTGCTGGGCTATTTTATGACTATGATCTATAACCCCAACAATGCGACCTTCGAGGCGAGCCCGTTTACAACATCAATTGAGTTGGACGAGGGGCAGCAGCTGTGCGAAATGGTTGGATACAACACTCCAAAAACCGAGCCTCGGCCTAAGCCTGATATACCCTTCTCCTGGGGCCACATAAACTGTGATGGAACCGTGGCTAACCTAGAATCCATCTGGGTTTGTAAGGAATAACCCTGAATCATCGTGCAGTCAACAATCTGTCATGAGACTGACCTTTAACAGCGCGAAACCTCAAGTTTTACTCCCTTACCCCTTATCTCGCCATGAAACAGTCCTGCTGCCGGAAACCCCAATTTGCCCCTTGGCTTACTACGACACTGTGCCGCCTCTTATGCCTGGGATATACCGGCGCAAGTCTCGTCACAGCCCACAGGTCGGCCCATAGCCAGCGAGCACGTCAAACGCATCATTCTCAGCCTGCTCCTGTACTAGAAAATATAGACATATTCTCTTTCTCGTAACATTAAATTCCATGTACATTTTCATAAAAGAAAGACCGCCAGGTCCACATCCATATCGCGCATGCGGTCATAACTTATACTGGAACAGTGGACTCTTCTCCCCAAGTTCTCGCAACTGCTCATCTGTGTATCGCGCATGAACCTCTGTCGCACTCAGTTGTGCCTTTTTCTGATTCAAGTAGTAGAGGATGCATTCCAGAACCAGACAGGCAACAATACCGGTTGAGACGAACGCAAGGGAGTTTCCATAGCCCGTCACGTACCGGGGCGCCTCATTTTGCTTGTAAATGAAACTGCCAATAAGTCCGCCCGCATTACCTGCGCAAATGAGATATCCAATGCCCATTGCTCGCTTAGTCGGGTTCGGAATGTTTGATACGTTCCAGGCGTTGACACCCGGGAGGATGGGGTACATTCTGCTCGTATTATCAGCAACTGTGCCGCAGGAGACTACTGCTCAGCGCCAGCGACCGGGGGTCAAGGGATGGCGTACCCAAAACAGGCGAGGCAAACACCGAAATAACACAGAGCAATGTTGTCTTCAATGTGGGCCGACTTTGTGAAGAGGATCGTGAATGCTACGATCTGACAGATTTGCGGTGCGACGATAAAGGGCATTCGCCACGTATACCGGTCAGCAAACACGGAAAACAGATAAGCGGACATCGCGCCGACTGCATATGGAGGAATGGTCATAAGCTGTGCGTTGGCGGACGTAAATCCCATGCCTTTAATGATTTGAGGCATTGTGAACTTGAGCGCGTAATTGGGGACAGCATTCGACCAGCTTCCGAAGATAAGCAGATAGATCTTCCAGTCAGTGAGAACGCCTATGAGAGCGCCCCAGTCCAAGCCTTTGGTACGTGATCCTTGGATGTTACTTGCAACTTGCCGGACCTCCAGAAAGCGGATTTCATCAGGCGTGAGCCAACCCGAAGACAGACTCGGCGAGTCAAGCAACAGAAAGTAACAACCAACGGCCAGGCAAATGGTGGAGAGACCCTCGAGAATAAATATCTAGGGATGAATTAGTAAGAACCGACGGTGAGGACAGCACGGTATACGGGGTGAAACCAACCCAGCGCCACCCTTCATACCCGGCAACACCGTCCAATTTCGCAATGCCAAAGGCAAGAAGCCCGGAAAACGCACCACCCGACGCAGCAGATGTATACAAAATAGCAATCCGAGTCTGAGTCTCGTTTGGGAGATACCATTTGGAGATGATGAGGACCGCACCAGGAAGGAAACCTGCTCTGAAATCAAGATTAGGATAGCACGACCAAACCGTACGTGCAAGGAAGAACAAACTCAAATAGTCCAAGCAAGAACCGGATAGCAACCAAGCTGCCAAAGTTGTGGATGAAGCCAGTGCAGGTCATGGTCACCCCCCAGATGAACATGAGAGCTCCCAGGTAGGTAGACGGTCTCTTGAATCGGTTCAAGACAATATTGCTCGGCACCTCTATCGCTAAAGGTTAGCCACGCTTGTTATATGGAGATATTTCGGCCGTGTTTTACCGGCAAGAATGAACGGCACGAAGAAAATAGCTAGGGCGATGTTATACTGCTCTCCAGTCATTCCCAGGCTTGGGAGGAGGCCCTCTATCTTAGCATTCCCTGGAATAGTTAGTAGGAAGCTCGCAGTTTCCGATGCTGATGGCCATACCAATATTGGTTTTATCGATGTATGTAATCAGATACAAAAGCATCAGCATTGGGATCAGGCGCCACTGATTCAAGGTTATTCTCCGCAGAATGGATGGGATACAGGGTAACTTTGGCCATACATCGATCTTTCAGCGATGTTAGTTGGCGTGGCAGCTCCAATTTCTTTCAGGACTAACCTTTCTCAGAACCCTGTTCTTCGCTTCAACCGAATACTCGGCCAGAAAGTTTTCATCGTCGCTAGATAGCATGTGTCCAGGCTGGTATTCAAGATGCATCGTAGTCTCCTTCTCAACTGAGAAGTTCTCGCGTCGTGCTTCTCGATTGGTACTCATTATGGGTGAGTGAAAAGTGAGTAATGGTATATGGTAGCTTGATTATCGAGAGTTCTTTTCGACGGCGGCCCGGTAGATGCACAGGATGAGATTGCGAAAGGCCGATGAGCTTGTTCACTTGTCACCGCAATTGATAAATGCCCAGGAACATAAGACGCAGACAGATAAACCAATTACTTATAATAGAAAAGATGTGGTAATGCCGTACATTCTTGCAGTTTTCTGGGGCAGAGCCCCTACGGAGCATCACCGAGTTTTTATTCTCCGGGGGGAATATCCGCGATGGGGCGAAGAATCCGTGAAATCCGGCATCAAGACGGAAACAGGAACCGCCTAGCTGGTATGAACCTTTCGGAACACCACAACCAGTCCAGAACCAATTTAAACGGTTTCTTGTCTCTCGATAAAAGCTGTAAGTGCTTTGTGTACCTCAGCCTTCGTTCCACAGTAGACAATGTAGAATCGGATATCCCAGGAACGTTGCTAGAATAACCAGACCTAAGTTTGACAAGCAAAATAGAATGCAGAGTATTAGCATGCAAAATCAAAGCCTTCTGGGATAGGGTAAAACGCCTGATCAAGTATCAGCAACATGTTACCATCATCACTTGACGAAAGTTACACCTACAGAAGAATCCAGATCCAGCCAGTCCGTCGTTTGCCACGACTGAAGCAAATCCGGAAGTCCGCCGAGCCCAGGCTCAATGGGGCCGCAGCCTTCAGGAAGAGTTCCAGCAACCATAGAACCCTCGTTGTCATTCGAGCTTTCGCGAAATGTATTGTCCGGGCCGCCTGTCCCTTGCACCGAACGACGACGCGTATTTTTCATAGCCTGTCGCTTTGCCTCAAGTCTCATCTCGTCTAGTATAACTCCATATCTTCTGCTGGGAGATGCTGCTGAGCTAGCCTTGTGTAGGTGAGAATGGCAGCGTTCGGCTAGTTCATCCAATACGACATATGTTCCACGAGGAAGCGCATTGTCGCCCGAATGTGAGCGTATTTTCCAAACGTACACCACCGCCAGAGCACAAAATGTCGCATAATGCGTCCACCAAAAAGAATGAAACAAATTAGTGTCCTGTGCCATGTACTCGACTAATTCAAGTGTTTTCTTTGCTGCAGAAATACACTCATCAATGCGATCTCTGATTCGAGAAGCATCACTGACCGGGTACCCATCGCCTAGAAGAAACGGACGATTGGCATGAATAAGGGCATGAGAATATGCCAGCTGGAGAGCGATCGCTTCACGACGGAAACTTGGGATCAATGTCGACGGTTTGACGGTTCCGAGATGAGGAGGGAGACTCGCTCGCCATTCATGGAGCTCCTCTATGAGCGAGCCAGCAGATGAGACCCGGTCTTGGTTAGCTTTTATGGCAGTGGAGTAAACATCACGAGAGATTCGGCCGATGACATTTGCAATTCTATTGTCGGTGAATACGGTGAATACCTGTTTATACTTCTTGAGGGGATAGAGATTCTACGTACCTTGCATGGAATATGAGTGAGTCAATGTGGCACTCGTCGGTGGCTTGCCAGCTGGAATGATCCTGAGTCATCATGTCCTCGTCGTTCACACTATCAGGAAATTCTTGATCTATTTCGTCGTCGTGAAACAATCTCGGACGGCCAAAGACGACGCTTAGGTATTTGTCTATGATGTACGCAACCCAGAAAACCCGTCTCCCACATTGAAGTGAGATATAGTCTGGGCATCCTGCCGAGTAGGAATTCAGTAGGCGTCCTCTGCGTCGGTGTAATCCCAAAGAGGAAATAATTTGCACGGCACACCCAAATGTATACCATGCTTTGTTCATGCGCGATGTTTGCAGAAGGTATAGGACTTGGATCAGCCGAGCCTGAGCCGATTCCAGCGCCGGGAAGCCGACCTCTGAGTCGGTCATATCCATTGCGGTACAGAAGAACTGGTCGCTTCTCTCTAAAGATAATGCTGTGCCGGTGGCTGATGTATCGTCGCTGATCTTAGATCTGCGAAATGTTGCGATCGCAAGAATGGTCAATAGGATGGCACTCCTGGCATGGCCGACGGAGTGAGAAAGTTGATGCCCCTCTCGTCGATCCTTAAGCATAGATTCCAGCCAGCCCTCCGTGGTATGGCGATGGAGCAACCGATAGGTGACCACACATGTATCGAAGTAGAAGCGGACTAGATCTTGAGCCTCAATGTCGGTGCAGACGGACTCGACTGTGCGGTCATTTACGAGGTGGAAAGGGTTGTCTCCAGCGGACATCAGAGGCTGATTTCTTTCCCTCTCTGTCGACTCATAAGATGCCATCTGCGATTCCTGCATTAACAACTTTCCCCATGCTCGATGTAAGAAGCTGAGCCCCGATGTAGGGTCAAAGTACTGGCCCTCAATCACGAGGTCTGGTGATACACGTAATGGTGAAAGGCAATGGATAGGTAATTGGGAGGTCTCATGCGCCTCGTCTCGAAGAGAAGACAGTGACACACAGTAACTTTGACTATCCACACCATTTTCACTGACAACGCTGTTGGTTGTTCTGCCTCTATGTTCCTGCTCTCTAGAGGTCAGATCCCCTGCAACCTTCCCACCTAACGGCGGTGTAGGAGGCCGGCCTCGGGTGTATTTAGTTGCATAGGAGCAAGAGAGTTGCCTTCTCGTGCATATGTCGCACGGAAGCGTGCCCGAGCACCGGATTTTCTTGGCTTTGCAGGAGTCACATGCTCGGCTGACTTTGGGATCTCTCCTCCTATTTTGCGGAACCGACGCCTCTGAGTCTGTAAGAAGATCGGCGAGTCTCTTGCGAGACCTAGGCGTGGACACGTTGGTGGAAGCGTCATCTGCTGTTGGCGTGGCCATGGTTGCGGTGGTAAATGGTAAGAGGAACTCGGAAAAGACGGACTTGCCTACATAAAGTACTATTGTGGGGAAAAGACAGGGAATGCGGGGGATGAATGCGGAGAAGATGCCGCTTTACCTCGGTCACCCACAGGACAGATGACTGTTTGGGGTCCTGTGGGACCGGATATCGCGGATTTCTCGGATTCGGCCACTGCAACTATATACAGCTTGATATATATAAACCCAGTCAGATCTCAATAGATACGTGATCGCTGACCTATGAACAATCCTACTGAAAGATAATCTGCACCTCCCTGATACTCCCAATTACTTCTCATCTCTATATCACCCTTGAAAATGGTTGGCTTTGATATGCGCGGTTTGACGCCTGCCCCGGTGACCCCCTTTACTCCCACCGGTGAAATTGATTACGAAGCCATTCAACGCCTCGGAAGTTGGCTTGGTAGCATTGATGGTGTCAAAGGCCTTGTTGTCCTTGGCCATGCTGGCGAAGGAACTTTTCTTACTCAGGAAGAACAAGTCTCTGTCATCAAGGCTTTCGTGCGGTCTGTCAATGGCAAGGTCCCTATCATCGCTGGAATCACCGGTGAGGGAACCGAAGTTGCCGCTCTCGAGGCCAAGCGAGCGAAGGACGCTGGTGCATCTGCTGGTCTACTATATCCCTCTCATGGATGGTTGCGCTTCGGGTATCAGGAAGGGGCTCCACAGGATCGGTACCAGCGCGTCTACGAAGTCAGCGGTCTCCCGCTCATCCTTTTCCAATACCCCGACAACACCAAAGCGACCTATAGCCTGGAGACCATGCTCGATATCGCCGCCCAGCCAGGGGTGTTCGCCATGAAAAATGGAGTCCGCAATATGCGTCGATGGGATACCGAGATCCCCGTGATTCGGCGGGAGCGCCCCGATCTTCAGGTCCTGAGTTGCCACGACGAATATCTACTGCACACGGCATTTGATGTGGATGGCTTCCTCGTGGGATATGGAAACATTGCACCAGAGGCGTTGCTCCAGTTAATCGACGCTGGCAAAGCCAAGGACTACAGGAGAGCTCGCGAGATCCATGACCGACTCCTGCCCGTCACTAAGAGCGTTTATCATCGCGGATCTCATATGGAGGGCACAGTGGCACTAAAACATGCCCTTGTTGCTCGTGGAATCTTGAACTATGCCGCTGTCCGGTCTCCTCTTCGTCCTCTAGGGAGCGGTGCGGAGGACGAAATCTGTGCCGCAGTGAAAGCTGCCGGTCTGTCAAGAGTCATGTAAGACAGGGATTCCGAACTAGCATTATAAATATGAATAGAGACAATTTCCTAAGCTTAGTTCTTGCATCTATGTATAGAAATACTACGGGTCGCAGATAAACACTCAATATATCGGTTACATTATGCTGAACAATAACCTGGCGATCAGCACTTACTCCTTATTTTGCATTCCTACTCTCTAGTAGCTCGTCCATCATGCCCACGATAGATTTACTCGTGCCCTAATTACCTGTATTTTAATATTCCGGTATACTTCTATCTGTTAAACTAAATATTTTCTAAGCCTGAAACTTCAGTTAGAATATTATAATATAGCTGCTATAATGAATAGATATTATAAGCCCCTTTAGTAAGTCAGAAAGGACTTTCTATTATTACCGCTTTTTAGAGACAAAGGAACTATTAGTTATTGTATTTACTGTAACGTTTTCAACGGGTAAGTGGTCCACACGAACAAGTGGTCTAATTTTCCCGTATTTAGATAGAAATTTAACCTTTTCAACCACCAACGCCATTAAACCTAACTAACTAAATACATGAAATTATAGCTATCTACTAGGATAATGTCGAATTATATATCTAATTGTTCTATACCTACTACAGCGCTGCGGAGCTTGTCGACAAGACACTAGAGTAGATTCCGTAGGCTGCTTATTAAGCTATATATTAAGCTACTGAACGCGATTTTCACCTTTCTACATATTAAAAAGGCGGTTATTATCTATCTTAGTATATCTTCTTATCTTTTTTTAATATTGTTGTCTATTTTCAGCGTGTACAGCCCTAATTTTTTGCTGTAAAAGAAGGGTAGTTTACATTACTATTTACACTGCTTTCTCTAGATATTAAATATACACAATAGAACTACTAGAAAGCTACTGCTTTCTAATAAAGCTATTATATAGGCTTTAAACCTTTTAATTTAACTAGCAAGTATTCTACGGAGTTTAAAAAGCAGAGGAAATTAAGTCTTTAACTAGTAATAATATAGGCGTACATAGTTAAAAGATAAGCTTAGAAAAAATATACTCTGGATTAAGCGGCTTAAGCCCTACTTCTCTAAAACTGCTGTAGATATTAGCTAAAGTAAAGACTTTCTTATATATATCTAGATATAGCAATAGAAAGTTTTTTTTATTAATATAGTTGTTGCTAGCAGCTATATAGTTTTTAAGAAGCTTTCCGTATGTAGAGTGGGTTAACCTCATCATTATACCTTACTATAACCTGACTATAACCGGCCAGGTTAGGTTAAGATATAAAAAATCTAATAACTAAAGAGATATAGTTAGATTAAGGTTAAAAATTATATTTTACTAGATTAACCGGCCGATAAGATAGAGAAAATTAATTTAGTAAGAATCTAACTGTAAATTAAATAGTAATTAATATATTTTAATTACCTTTATAATTTACTATATTTTTTTATTTCGGTATTAATACTCTTGTAATTCTGTAATATAATTTACTATTTAGAATAAATTAATTAAAATATTCTGCTTTAAGAATATATTAAAAAAAATATCTATTATTTACTCTTTATTCTTTATACTATTCTAAATATTATTAATAATATTAAAAAGATTATATTTCTTTAATAGTCCGGGTAATATATATAAATTCTAGTAATAATCTATTCTCTGGATCCTTATCTATATTATCTATATTTTTATTATTACTAATATATAAAGATATTTCGGTTATATTATCGTCTTTTTTCTTATATATAAAGATAATAGAGTTAGGGTTAATCTTATCGAAAATCTGCTAATATTCTTTATTAATAGTAAAGCGATTAGTATATATTTATAGTATAATCGCTTTAATAATATTAGAATATAACTAACTCCGGCGATAGTAATAAATATCTTAGAAGCTATTAAAAAGATGTTTAATATTAATATTATTAGTTATAACTGTAAGAAAGTCTCTTACTATAAAGTAAAGAATTAAGAACTAATTACAATAAGATTTCTAGTAAATAAGAATATTAGTTTAACTAGTAATGCTTTATTAACAGTAAACAAAGTATAAATCTATTTAAAATATAATTTATTTTCTATATTAAGATAGGCCTTAAACTTCTTAAAGATCTCTAATAAAATAGTAAATTTTTATTGCCATAGGGTGTTTGCCGACTAGACTTAGAGTCCCAACAACGTCGATGCCATGTAAAAATTCGCTGAGGTATAGAGTAGCTAATGCACAATCCTGCCCTTCAATCAGAATTTTAATATCTTCTTCCGTTCGCGTGGAATCGTTAGCCAAAGTTGGCAACTTTTGAGGTTTTCCGGGTGGAAGATTACTTAATCATCCCGCTCGACTTAACGTCTCAAAACTAAGCCTTTTTCGATTAAATTCCTCAACACTAAACTACTTTCAGATTTGTCCTCAACACTAGACCTATTTTGGTTTTATATTCTAAACACCTCTACTTCCTGGCATACTGTACACTGCTTCTTTCAACCGCTATGCTTCGCACATTCTGACACTGGTTTACTTATAAGGAAAGTGTAAGACTTTCGGTCATGTCCGAAAACCTTGCTATCGGTTGCCTGGCTAGGGAAGGTTGTAATAATGCGTTGTTTTAAGATCATCTTCGAGACAGAATAGAAACCGACCTATTCATCCTGTTACCCCTTTTTCTTATTTCAACTTTCGACGACCAAGGCACTTGAAATCTCTCTATCTTATAGCGCCGCCTACTTTCTCTCCCCTCTCTTAGGCTTCGGTTCTAGTGATTCTTCCGTTATTATGTCTCCCCTTAACTCTACTTCCACCCGAAAGCGCGGTCGGCCCCCCAAGTATCAGTCTGCAGAAGAGCGACAGGCCGCGAAGATAACACGACAACGAAATCAGCGACAAGCCGCCCAAGCGGCTAAACGCAACACCTTCTTTGATGAATACTACTCGGCCGGTCCATCTGCAACTGGTGAACGCCCGATCGCTCTTGTTCCTGGCATAGCGGCGTTGTCGGTGACCCATGAACTGGAAGAGTTGCTCCCGCCGTTAAGCCCTGATCCAGCTCCTCTTGAGCTCGAAGATAGCTCTATCCTAATTGACGAGCCGCCTCTAGAGCTTAACAGTCTCGAACCTGCCGCTAGTCCTACCCCCTAACCTTCCCGAACAGTTCCCGACCAACGCACAGTGAGCCCCTCGAAGGGTGATCTATCAAATTTAGAAACCCGGAAGCCCTGCCCCAGCGGCTGCCGAGGATGGCGAGGATATTTGCACGCTGGCACGCGCGCTGGCCGACCAGCTGTATCAGCATCACGGCTGTTGTCGGGAGTGCCATGAGCAGGGCCCGTGTGGCGCACCACGAGACGCATTCGGTTCATACCGGGCTGGGGGAGTATGTGGACCAGATTAACATTGATGGCGACTTCCCAGATGTGTTGGGCTCGGCTACGATCGCGGCCCGCGAGTCCAATCTCGCCCAGCAAGTCACCAAGGCACGAAAACAACAGATCTACTGCGGCATCGATCCTCACAAGCCCGATGAATCCCCAACGCATCTCTGCGTGGCAGCCGACCATCGTCCCGATCCTTCCTTGGGCGTGACTGTTGATATCGATAGCGTGGGTGGGTTTGTCAGTAGTCTGGCGGTAGCTCGTCGGGGGATCCGATGGCATCCTACGCAGATGGCGGTGTCCGACCTCCAGTCCAGCCTGCATCTAGATCCGGTTTCAGTCCAGTATTTCGACTCAACCGGGCAGGCCCACCATGTTCGCCGGCCGGTCCATCAAGTGCCGCACTATACCTTTGGTCGTCTAATTAGATTCGAAGATATCTCTCTGTATCTACTCTTTCCCCGACTGTACCGGGAAGATCAGCAATCCAGCCGTCTGCTAGACCAGGATTTCCAGCAATGGACGGACGAAATCCTCCTCCCAATCATCAATCGGTGTTATTCCGGCGACCTGATCCAGCACTACCCCTCTAGCTTCGACCATAGCCGGCTGAACGCGACCGCCCGGGGAGTGGAAATGCGGTCCCAGCGAGTGGATCCGATCCCCCGCGAGCAGTTGCTTTCCTACTTTCTTCCTCCCGAGGCGCTTCCCACAATCTGGGAACAGATTCTAGAGGCGACCCACCGCCCCGGATTCCACCAGTTTCAGGATCTTAAGATTCTAATCGAGGGGAAAAACCTAAAGACCCTGACTAAGGCAGACACATTGGCCGATCTCATGACGGGCTTTCAACAACACTGGCAGAATGCTGTTAACGAGGACGTTCTTGCCGAGCCGTTCTTCTACGATCTCGGTAAGGAAACCTGCCCAACCACGGCGAGCGCGCAAGAGAGGCCGCCGCAATCTTTACTCTGGCGGCGTTGTTGCCTGAACGCGTATAGCCAGTGGATCCATAGCAAGCAGCCAGCGGACGCGCCCCATGCTCTGCAGCACTTCTACCCAATCAGTATGCTAGAAGACACCGGCAGCCTGACGTTAGAGACCCGGCGAACATCACCGCAGCGGCGGGCCGGTCTCTATTATAGTCAATTCTACGCTAGTGTGAAAGAGGTCTTCGCCGCCGGCAATACATATCCATTTACCAATACTGCAACGGAGACCTTGGCGCTGGATCCCCAGCTTCGCAAGACGTGGCAGACCGTTGGCGGTGGTCTTAGCCATAATCCGATCGCGCTCAACCGGGCCTATCTCACCACAAAGCAACGGTGCCATGCTGCGTTACAAGGATCGGTCCCTAAGGTCTTTGGCCTGCGCGAAGAGCACCGGGTCTCTCACGCTTTATTTTGTCAGATTCTGCACGAATTTCAGACCCGGCAACAGTCTACCACCCGATTTCTGGGTTCTGGAGATCGGGTCGAGAGTTACTACGCTTTGCCGACCTTGACGCTTCTTCGCTGGTTCCGATGGAATATCAACAAGTTTTGTGTTGGGTTTGAAATGGTGTACAGCTTAAATGACCGGCATTTTGTGACCTGGGAGCATACCCGGGTCATGTTAATGTTCCTCCGCTGCCTTCCATTCTCCTACTCCGGCGGCCTTTTGGAGCGGGTCTCCGGCTGTTGGCGCGATGTCTGGTTTCGCCCGGATCCCACCCAGCCGGACGGTCTTCGGCGGTGCGAGGGGCTGGGCTTCCAGCGGAATATGCAGCAATTTGGGTACGGCTGGTTCCTGGAGAAGATAGATTGGGAGATGATGGTGTTCCGACAGCCGGCCACGCAATACATCCAATTCAACAACCCGTCGCTCCAAGCCGCGTACCACGCGCGTTATTCCCAGGTGCGGGATGTTCGCACGGACTTCATTCGCATCAGCCAGATCCACCAGTGGATGACCGAGTTTAGCAGTATTCCTACCTGCCAAGACTATCTGCAGAAATATCTGCGGCAGCTGTGTTTGCGGGCCTTTCGCAAGGATGTTTTTACGCAGATCAAACGGCTTCTAAAGCCGGAATCCGTAAGCGCAGCGTTAGCGGGAGAGATCCCGCTCTGCTGGCCGAGTCTCGAAGGCGCGCTGCAGACCCAACACTGTCCGCCCTATATTGCGTCGGGGAACCGCATGGCGGTCAAACATATTAATGTCCTTTTTACATGGCTATGGGAGTGGCGCGATGGCCGATTCGAACGAAAAGGATGGGATCACAAGCCCTACCGACTTCTTTATCAAAAGAGCTTCGAGGTGATTACCCTGTTCCAAGGCAAGGACGCCGCTCGTCAGTGGAAACAGGGTCTAAAAGATTCCTTTATTCAGAGCCATTGGATGCTTCCCTATCCTCAGAACAATAGCTTCATGCGAAAGTCTAAGGAGAGTGGCCAGGTGATGTGGTGGTCCAGCGTGCATCGCGGGATGGATCTGTACTACCACGAGCTGAATGTGTTTGACCGCCCCTTTCCGGCGTCCTATATCAAGCATCATCCGACGACCGGTTGGAGCCCATCGCAGCCCTCTCTCGCCCATCTTGACTATACAATTGAACCTGAACAGCGCCTTCTGCATCTATCAGATCCCGAGCTCTATCAGACCCTACGCGACCTACAGAGCCAATGGACGTCGCCAGATAGACCGCCCCAACGACCGGTACACC